TATTTAAAACTAGACACTGATGAAATATTGCTGACACTCGTTTCATAAGTGTTTATATCGGCACATCCTTGAGGTTTTCTGTCGCACTGATCAGAAATGTATATGTGTGCTGTGTATGGATCAACATAAAAATCATGAGACTGTATCAGCTGCAGCACAGAGGACAGAGAAACAGGTATTTAAAACTAGTGATCAAGTTAATACTCAGTGCAGTGATCCAATAGTCTGTTTATTTTGTGTGTAGAGCCGCAGCTTAATTACACAGAACACAGAAACACTGTCAGTGTGAAGCTCTACGTCTGTGTCAGTTTCACTTTTATAATACTTACACTTGTAGTGTGAAACAGGCCTTAATCTTCATGTTAAATCATGTATAATGATTGTAATTGATCATCACTTTGAACCTATTCTCTGAGCTCTTTCTTCTGGAAGATATATTTAGCTGTCAAACACCACTAGCGCCACCAACAGTTCATTAACATTTCAGCTTTTTAACTTATTTTTCCTTCTGATTTATTACATTGTGGTGAAATCAGTGAACTTAATAGTACTGATTCTGAGTAACGTTCATCAAAATTGGATCAGGTGATCCTCAAACCTGATAAAAGTGATTTTTATTTGCCTGTAACTCATTCATGAATTTGACCATGAAGACCCCAAACATGAAGTAAGGCTGTATATTAGCATTGGTTAAGCATATTGAAACCACACCAAACCTGAGTGTGTCTTATGGATCCTTGTGAAGCTTCAGTGTCTTTAACTGCTCTAAAGTTAGAAATAATGGTCAATCTAATCATAGCCTTTGAGCTGTTTTTCCTGAGCAAATCTACTCAACCCTACAATGAGACTCCATTGATGTGCTTGAATTGTTAGATGGACATTTATGTTCTCATCAGATGTTTTATCATCTAAACTATTTCCTAGAAAGTTCACAGAGTGTAAGTGTCAAATACTAGAATCTGTAGCGCAAGCAGAAAAACTCTCTGAGTGTGTTCATGTTCTTCCTGTAGAAGGAGAAAGAAGAGTTTTATAAATAATGTAAATGATAGGGCTGCCCTCGACTAAATATTTTTCTGATCGACTAATAGTCATACATTTGAAGCTATTTTCAAATTTCAAAAGCTTTATTGTCTATCTCCAATGGGGTAGAAAATTGTCTTCAGACAAAAGGCTCAACACACAAACAGCATAAGTAGTCCTCACAACAACAGACTACATTACATCACAAAAAAAAAAAATCATTTTTAGATCCTATTTAAAATACCAATGGCAGTTGGAATAAACGTCTTCTTATACTTGACCTTTTTCACCAAAGGCATTTTGTACCGTCTTCCAGATGGAAGTAGTTGAAAAGAACTGTACAAAAGATGAGAAGAGTCTCCCATAATGACAGAGGCTTTCCTTTTTAGTGCCACAGTGTAAAGATCAGTGAGAGATGTTTTTCTCTCACCAATTATTTTACTCGCCACATTTAGAATCCTTAAGTCTACTTTTACTTTTAACAGAGAGAGAGTTAAACCAGGACACAATAATAAAAGTAAGAACAGATTCGATAAGTGATTTATATACAACAATCAAAATATCCTTTTCAACTCCTCAGTTTTCTCAATAAGCCTAGACATTGATAAGCCTTTTTAAAAACATTATCTGAATGCTTATCGAATGAAAATTGGGAGTCAATCTCAATGCCTAAGTATTTAAAAGATCCCACCTGTTCAACTTCCTCTCCATTAACTAACAAAGGTTCACAGAGTGCTCGTATGTTGTTAACCCCACAGCACATTTCTTTGGTTTTACTAATGTTAAGCTGAAGAGAACTCTCCTTTGTCCAAGACGTAATAAGATTAACAAAACTAAGGTAAGTATCTAATGACTGAAAATCCTTTACACGTCCCACCAGTGCTATATCATCTGCATATTTTATAAGCGTCAAATTGTCAGTATCACAGGTCATTTCATTTATATAAATAGAAAATAGAATTGGTGATAAAACACACCCCTGAGGAAGGCCAGTGTTTAAAAGCACATTCTCCGATTTTTTTCCCATTTACTAATACGTGCTGTGGGCGATCCCGTAAAAAACTGTTAATCCATAAGATGAAAGTTTGGTGCACCTGCAACTCCTCCAACCTCCTCAAAATAATGTTTATGTTCACAGTATTAAAAGCGGAAGAAAAATCCATAAAACAAATCCTAACGCAACAATCTGCTGCATCCAAGTATTTTCCAACCTTATCCATCAGAGTGAGGGTGGCATCTTCAACTCCACGCCCAACTCTGTAAGCAAACTGCAAAGGATCCAATTTCCCAATCATTGCTTGGGAGAGTTGCTGACAAACCACTCTCTCCATGCACTTACAAAGGACAGATGTTAAAGCCACTGGTCTATAGTCTATGAGGTCCTTAGCATGTGCCTTTTTTGGCAGTGGAATAATGGTACTCTCCTTCCAGGCCCGAGGTACAACACTACAATCAAACGACAGCTGAAAAAGCTGTCAACACTCCCTTCAGCTGTGTTGCACATTCCCTCAGCACCTTCCCCTTTATTCCATCAGGCCCTGTTGTCTTTTTGGGTTTAACTCGTAATAAAACCTTTTCCGCTGTCTTTTCCTCTGTTGTTATTATTATTATTATTATTATTATTATTATTATTATTATTATTATAGGGGGAAATACCGGATGCCCTAAGGGAATCCATTTCTCGTCAGAATTAGTATTAAAACGAGCATAAAACTGATTCAATTCAGTAGCAAAACAGGCAGAATCAGAACACTGAATATTATGTTGCTTCTGATTCCTCCCCATCATACTATTTAGGCCTTTCCAGGCCATCCGCGCATTGCCCATTTTAAACTTTCCCTCAACCTTCCGTTTATACTGCAGTTTAGCCTCCTTAGTTTTTTGCTTCAATTCTTTTTGCAGGAGTTTAACAGCATGTTTATCTCCATTTAAAAAAGCTATTTTTTTAAGATTCAAAGAGTGTTTAAAATCCTTTGTAACCCAAGGTTTGTTATTAGGGTAACATTTTACATGTTTCACAGGAATAACACCGTGTACACAAAAATCCACATATCCAGATATGGCAGCATTCAACATATCAACATAATTTCCACAGTCCTTTAAAAACACATTCCAATCTGTAACTTCGAAACAACCTTTCAATGTTTCAATGGCATCAAAGTCCCATACCTGAATAGACCTGGTTTGCACTTTCTCAGTCTTTAGTTTTTGCCTGTACCGAGGCAAAAGAAGAACAGCATTATGATCAGATCGACCCAGAGGGGGACGTACCTTAGAGGTGTAAGCACCAGGTATATTTCCATAGCACAGATCCAATGTTTTATCCAGTCTAGTGGCAGATGTGACATATTGTTCCAGATTCGGCAAAAATGTAGTAACATCACATCGATTAAAATCTCCAAGCAGAAACACCGGCTGATCTCCAACTCTGTTTGCGATGTTGTTAAACGTGTCAGCAATGCTTTCAGCAGCGATCATGAACTCAGGTCCCGGAACATACACCAATATCACAGTAATTTGGGTAAATTCTCATGGAAGATAATGTGGTCGAAAGGGCACTACCATGATTTCATAATGTTTTGAACAACTGGTTTCCCTCAACGTAAAGTTCATCGCCCATCTATTATTTACAGCCATGCAAAGCCCTCCACCAACAGCTTTCTGAGTTTTAAATATATCTTGATCAAACCGAATCAAAGTAAAACCATCTAGATGGAAATCCACTGTTTCCTGAGAGAGCCAAGTTTCGGTTAAACAAAAAAGGCTTGTGCGATGAATCCTCATCATATCTGATTAATGCAGACAGCTCGTCAAATTTATTCCTCAAGAGATCTGACATTCGATAAAATGATGGCAGGTAGAGGTAGCCTACAGCCTCTTCTCCGTAGACTTTTACGTATTCCTCCTCTCAATCCCCTTTCCCTCCGTTTCCCTTTGAACCTCTTCAAGCCGCGGCCTACCAGAAGACATTGTGGGACATCTTTCAAAAGCGCTGAATCCCTAGATGGCAAAACAACAAGAGGAAGCAAGTCCAGCAAAAATTCCCGCGAATATGCCAAGTTTTCCGTGGCTAATGAACATGCTCCAGTCGGCGTTGTCGGCATAATCCACAAAGCCAAAACTGGTTGCAAAACAAACACCAAGAGTCCTAGAATTGTCCAAATATCTGCCATCATTTAAAAGATGTTAGAAAAAAAGTTAGAAGCATTTAAGACAAAACAAAACAAACAAACAAAACATAGAGCCTGAGTCACGAGTCGCACGAACAGCGTTGCGCCCCGGAAGTGAAAAAAGTGATGGATGATTAGTTGACCAATCGCACGTTTATATTAATTAACCATATAATTCATAATAATGACCCTTTAATTGCCTGAGATTTGTGAGAGAAAATTGCCAAATGGCTAATAAAAAGTTGTACCGTGAGGATGTGTTGCAAATGTTATTTGCCGATTCTGACTCTGAAGGGGAATATTTGCCTTTTGGAAATGACGATCTGTCATCTAATGATCGCGCTTCTCCTGGTACATCTTTGCAGCGCAATGGTGCCGCCTTGCAAGGCAAGAGTGTTCACGAAGCACAAACAAGTGATCATTTCGACCCTTTGCCCAACGGGGATGGCAGGGGTAGGAGAAATAGGGCTGGAAGTAGCACTAGCTCTTTGGATCCAGCACCCCAAAGAGGTGGGAGTGGCTGCGGTAGACGTGGCCGTGCTGTGTGTGGGAGAGCCGGGAGACGTGGTAGAGGCAGCAGGGGTGATCTGGCGCTAAATAGGGCTGGAAATAGCGATGACCATGGTGGCTGGGTTTTTTTGATATTTTTTCCTGAATATTACTGATGAACTCATCAAAAAGTAGGCTACTGTTCACATGTGTTTTACTACTATATAGTATAGTAATAAAGTAATAATTTAGTACTTTCTCCTATTTTATTGTTGGTTTCCGATTTTCTGATCATTTGGAATGAGGATAAAAAGACAAAAAAGAAAACATGCAAATAAGTTCAAACATCAATTCAATATCTACTATTTCCTGAATATTATGAAAATCAAGATGGCCGCCCCCTGATGACATCATAATATGCAAATTAGACGAGTATATTTAAACCCCACAGTAGATCTTTATTTTTAAGCCCTTTCAAGCCACAAGCTTTTGAAATCTTGATGTCAAAATCCAGCATTTTTTTTTTTTTTTAAACCTGGCGCCTAAAGGGTTAATACAATCCAAACACAGGGTACATCCACACTGGAAACGGCAGGAAACACACGAACATAATGAGTAGACCTGACAAAGACAGAACTCACAGACTGGAACTTAAGTACAAGGGATAATCAGGAAAACACAGGTGCAGGGAATAACTAATTAGACGGGGAAGAAACTGGGTCATGGAGCACATGGGGAGGGAAAACACGACAAAAACAATCCAGGGGCGTGACAGTATCACACGAGCAATAGGCTAAGTGCAATATCACACGAGTGCAAATGTGATACTGATCTTATACAACAGTTCAGTAAGTAAGTTAATATTGTGTTATTTTAGACACAATGTTGTCTGTTTTGCTCAATTTTGCCAACGAAAATATAAAAACAAAGCAGAAATGTTCATCTCCGAGCAACACACAGGGGCATTTCATTTCTTAAAGGGGGCATAACACACACAGTTTCATCCAATCTCATGTTAATCTTGAGTACCTATAGAGTAGTACTGCATCCTTCATATCTCCAAAAAGTTTTTAGTTTGATCATATCTATAAAAGAAAGATACATCTTTACGATTCTCTCCGAAAAAAGTAGAGCTTCTGGAGGCACGCCGTGGGCAGAGCTAAAGAGTAATGAGCACTTGAGCGCCGATTGAAAACAAAACAGACATTTGATGCTGTTTCACTTACCATCTGCAGTTCCGAATCATGTCCGGGATCTTTTATAGCTGGGACCGCTCCATCTTTCAGTATCAAACGATGTGCAAATCCAGCGTCAAACTGGGCCTTGTTTATAAAACGTTCGTCAACAAACACATTTGCGAAACTCCATTGCTGCCCCGGAAAAACAAACTGTATCCACTGTTCACGTAACGCTGGGTTCTTCGGGAAGCTGAACAAGGTTATCTTTCCCTCACAACCAAAAACACACTTCTTTAGAGTCATTCTTCCCGAGCGAGTACTGTGCAGCAGTGCAGCCGGATGAAGCGCGTTGATGTGCTCTCGCTCTCGCGCTGGTTGATGCATGCACGGGTGCACTCTTCCGGGAGAAATGCCCATATAAGGAGTTCCACCGTCGTTTACGTCAGCAAGAGCCATGATTGAAAAAAACTTTCCGAAACTTGTACGAACCCGGAAGTAAGATTTTTGGCACAGAAATACTCTGTTATACTTCCAAATCGTTTTTTGAAACTGTGGCCATGCTTAGCATGAGAATCCAACTCTTTAACAGTGTAAACAACTCTGAATGCATGAAACAGCATTGTACCCCCCCTTTAATGCATGTTTTGAACGAATTGGGTGAACCATTTGGCACGTTGAACCATTGGCCGTAGGCACATTGGATTTGAAGCGGCGCTGCACAGATCGATCGGTTTATGACATCAAAATACTGCGAGAGTGATTCAAAAGCATAAGGAGTCGTCTGCTCTCTATAGCTCTCGCGGTACTTTGATGTCACACACCAATCGATCTGATGGTGATGATCCGCTTCAAGTCGAACAAGCCTAATGATTCAATGAACCATTCATATAGAGAACCATTTACTTCACTCCTGAATGAATCAGGCATTTGAATGAATCGAATTAATAAATGACTCGATGACTTAATCATTAAGACATTTACCACCACCTACTGGCAGTTTTAGTTTATTATATAGAGTATAATTTCATTAAAGAAATAATTTCATATTTCCATAGTAATAATGATAAAAATAATAAAATAAATTATTAAAGATATAGATCACCCACCCAAAAATGACAATTGTGTCATCATTTATTCACCCTCATGGTCCAACAGAGTATATGTAATAAATTTATCAAACAAAATATTTCTTGCTGAAGCTACTTTTTGTATTGTCTGTTTGATGCTTTACACAACAATGACTTTAAATTATCTTTTGGGAGTAATTTCTCAGCCAAATTTGATGTGCGATTAATTTGCGATTAATTAGATTCATTAATCGCCACATCATGTAATTAATTAGATTTAAAATTTGCTTACAGCCCTAATTTTTACCTTTTATGGGCATTTTTACTTTTATAAAGCCATTTTTGTCTAAAAGTGTGCATCAGCAATGAGTCAAATTCTTATGTTTAATCAGTGAATTAGAATAATATGACATTTGGGCTGTTGCTATGCAAATGAAATCAGTATCAACAAAATTCATCTTTGCAATGCAGAGGAAACACAGAAGCTGCGTCTGAAGTGGCATTTAGATGCGTTTACACACTGTTTAATGCAGGACATGAATGCATTTAACCTGCAGTTACAAATGCAGAAATAATGTTTTGATATATTAAACATAAAACGTTGAATACTGATATATGAAATTGTAAAAAAAAATTAAATCAAAAGATACTGTAAATGTTAAATTAAAACTGCCAGCAGGTGGCAGCAAGTCACTGTTAATAAGTGAGTCATTGAGATTAAACCGAATCATTTAAACGGTTGATTCATTCAGGAACTAAACACCGTCATGTTGCTCAGAGACGCAAAACAGCACTGTGGCTGTTATTTTTGTTGTCGAAATAGAGCAAGAACAGGCGATATAGTGTTTAAAACGTAAATATCTTTGTTAAAATGTATGCGCGTAGATGCACTGGCTTTTCAACATCTAGTCCTCAACCTCGGTCAGAAGGCTGATAGGCAAAGATCCACGACAGTTTCAGGTCTCAAGCAGAGATTTATTACACAATCAGTTTGTTACATGTAGGTGTGTGTGGTTTCTGAAATAAAGGAATAGCAATGAATAAATTAAATAAACTTTCCAAACAACATGCAATGCTTGTAAATATATTACAATAATTAAAGCAACACTGGAATGGGAACTGACAATTACAAAGCGTAATTACACCAGTAATAGAACAGACGATAGAACGTGATATCATGCTTAACGCAATCAAATAGGATTACTCGTTATACATCACTGAACTCTGAGAACGTGCATAAATATCGAGGTAAACCAACATTATAACATCAAATATGCATACACAAGTCTACACATACACATTTCCTAACAATGTATATTAATGTAAACTTACATTTGCAAGGACGCACACACATTAAACAAAGAACGATCAGTCTTGATGTATCAGCAGAACATGGGGCAGCCCTAGTAAATGATGATTTGCACAGATATCTGTTCATCTGAGACACTGATGATACACTGAACATGAAGAGTTCAGCTACATTAAAAGATCAAACAGATTCATAATTCCTGATTCTGATGTGTTTTATCTCCATCAGATTCCCATCAGCTCACTCTGGATCTGAACACAGTGAATAAACGCCTCCGTCTGTCTGAGAGCAACAGAGTGATTACTAACACTGGCACAGACCAGCCGTATCCTAAACATCCAGACAGATTTAATCAGTATTTTCAGGTGTTGTGTAGAGAGAGTGTGTGTGGACACTGTTACTGGGAGATTGAGTGGAGTGGAGATGATGGTGTGGATGACACAATGAGCCTCATCCACACAGTCCAGACCACATTCACTCAGCCGCTCTATTTAATGTTTATTATGAATCATCAGTGAAACTGTGTTGATGAATCAGAAGAGACTGACGAGAGATTCTACCCATAATGCTTTGAGCTGCATGATGAATCAGTAACAGTGAGATGTTATAGAGTCTCTTCTTTTCTCATTAAGGGGCCGTTCACACATCGCGTATTTTGCGCGCTCAAGTTCCTTATTTCAAATGTTCTCGTTTCTTCAGGCGATGAACGGAACAGCTGATCATTACAGATTATGATTATTTTTCTTTCTTGCTTTCTCATGATCTCGACATAACGAAAGTTGTTTTTCTCACAATGATTGTTTGATGTTTATCACACAATGCGTCGTGAGTCTGCTGTTGCTATAGTTACGAACGCTACTGTGACGCGCATCTGATCGACAGATAAACCGCGCGCTCTTATACTGTATGTTATGATATTTCACACTTTTGCTTCACGGAGTAAGAAGCTCTACAGTAAACGAATATATGCTAATCAATCACTGCTGATTTTTTTCCAGAGACAGGATGCTAAACGTTTTGTTTATGTAAATAACAAGTTTAAATGACTAGAGCAGGGCAGTGGCCCAAAGCAAAAGAGGTGGCACTAAGGGGGTGGGAGCTTGTTAATACAAATTACCCAGTTGTTACAAATATACAATTAAAATAGAACACAGCACACTCTGTACTAATTTCAGATATTATTGTAGATGTTTTAATAGAACGCATAATAAAGAATAACTGATAATAACAGAAACTATTTACTGTTTTACATATTGATATTTACCTGTTCCTTTTACAGCAAAACTTTTTTTTATTTGGTACTATGTCCTGAAATATCTTGATAACCTTATCTTTTATGATTCGCAATTAAGATAAATTAATTAAATTAAGATGATGCCTCATCTTCAGTGGAAGTATAAGTATTAGACATTATACAGCATACGTCTATGTCATATACTAATAAACAACTCATTTATATGACCTTTTTAATGTATAGGCCTACTATTAATATGGTTTTAATAAAATATAATAAATATGATGTGTTATAAATTACTAGTTACCAACTAAGACAAGTGATTATAATGGGAAATATACTTAATTATAAGAATTAAAGTGTGACAAACTGCTAAATATTCTGATTATTTACCTGCTGGAGTTTTGAATCCATGTTTGCCATGTTTTACTGCCTTTAGCCCTTCGCTCTTTCTTTCTCTCTCTGCCTTTTTTCTTTTCTTTTTTTGTGTGAAGGCATTCTATTTTGTTTTCTTTTTCGTCTACAAAGCGTGCCAGCAAATTGCTGTTATTTTTATTAGATCTGATCAGGTACAATAATTAGATCAGACATTCTAATTCTAAGAATGTGAGTATTTTGTACAAGTTGTTGGCACTTTTAGAAGACCGAGCGCAAATCATTACCGACAGAAATACAAAAACAAACTACCACATTACTGACTTCCTTTTCTACTTGTTCTTATTCTATTGTTTTAATTAGACATTTTATGTGTTTATACATTTTTGAATTTGAAATAAAAGATGACATACTTGTAATAAAAATTGAAAAATGCCATTACAGAGGTAAAAAAAAAGCCCCTGTAAATAACTTTAAGGAGTCAAATATCAGCTCCTAATGGGAATATAGTTATATTGTGTGCGTCGATGCCATATAAACCACACACACATATAATATAAAGCCAACTGAAAGATTGTTTGCCCGTGCCTACTTCAACTGTTCATTAAAAACCCTCAATTCATGCAGTTTTTTTTGTGATTTTTTTATTTTATTATTTATTTACCTTTAAAAGTACCATATTTTAATGTAAATTATGCTTATTTTTATGTTATATTTACAGTTTTTTTCAAGCGTTTACCAATGCTTAAAGTACTTTTTCTAAACTCTTAACACAGCAACACACCTACGTCACACAGTTAGCCAAATAGTTAATTTTCTGGCCAAAACCACATTTTGTTAAATAAATACAAACTCTACGTTTCAAAGTGCAGAATACCTTTTTCTTCATATACTAACTCTATCAACACACAGCAAGCCCGATTCAAAATCGAGTCATTCGGTCAAAACATTAGCACTGGTTTTCTATCCAACAGGAACATGTAGTCAATTATAGTGCATAGACTGTCAAAATGCTAACAATTAATGGCATTACAAAAACTGCATTACTTATCATGTCTAGAACGTACAATATGAGATCCATTAAAAAATATAACAACAACAATAATAATAATAATAATAATTCAGCCAGCAAGTTCACTTTTGTGTGTGTGAGTGGATTCGTTTTAGATAGTATATGTACAGCATAGTGAAGGATCATCAGTATGGAATGTAAAAGAAAAGTGACAGAATTGCAGCAGTAAAGGCTTTACTGGCTAAATTAAATTGCAGTCAGTGATTAAAAAAAAACTTAATTAATGTACAGATATGTTATTTACGAGTGTGCAGTTCACAAATGAACCATTTTTGGTTTTCTCTGTATAAATGTGTCATTTATGATGGACAATGTATTGTTATGAATGTTTTACCATTGTTCAGGCTGAATATAGCCTGCGTTAAGAAACTGTTCTTGCTGACCAGAAGGCAACAGCTCAAAGAGAGAGCGGGCAGGGTGCGTCGGGTCCAAAGTGATTTTCTTAGCCCTTTTCCTCACTCTGGAGATGTAAAGAATCTTGGAGGTTGGGCAGGGGGGCACAAATATTCCTCTCAGCAGTCTTGGCTGTCCGCTGTAGTCTCTTGATGTCTGATTTGGAAGCTGAACCAAACCAGACAGTCCTGGTCCAACTACTCCTCTCCCTCGTCCAAACATTTTCTTTCTTTTTATGCTTCTCTGTGTTGTTCTGTATTGTTTTGAACAAAACCAATCCAGAGAGTGCCTTTTTATTGTGCATGGCCATGTATGGAAAGACTTGGAATTATTCATTACTGTAAGATTGGAATCAGCTATTTCTCAATTATTAGTAATTAAAATAATACTTAGCAGCTCTTTTAAGCTGCTTTTGTTGCAGAAGTAGAGGCTTTACACTATATTTAAAGTTTGGAACATTAGGTCTTAATTTCTGTCATGCTTCGTTTAAGCATTTGTAAAAAAAAAAAAGATAAGAAAGATCAATGATTTCTGGTATGGGGTAAGCTTGTGTGAAAAGAACATTTAAGCATGTTAGAAACGTGTTAATTGACTGAATATTGTGTGAAAACAACATGAATTGTGTTAATGGTATGGTCACAACAGACGGATGTTGTGTTAATTGTGTTCAGAGTTTTGTAAATGTGATTATAGATTGGACAAAGGGATGTTAGCAATTGAAAAAAAAAATGTAATATTTCTTATACGTCAGTAAAAAAAAATAATTCCAGTAAGTTCAGACAGTCAAAACCTAAAATTGTGGTGACATCTGGTGACATATGATGGCATAAAAATATCAAAATATCAATAGCCACTATATGGCTGTATACCTACTCAATGGCTGCATATAGGCTGAAATCAATAAACCGTTGTTGTAATGAATTTAACCTCTTAAGTATTAGATTTTATCACAAGTTAAAAGTGTAGAATTAAAGAAAAAACATTTGTGTTGGGTGAGACTATACAACGATGCCAAAATATGCTTACAGGCAAATCTGACCATGCTGTAAGGAAAAGACAAAGTAGGAGACGGAGTTATCATTTATTTCTAACAAAAAACATCAAATTTCAATAACTCAAAAAAGTAAAATGGAACCAAATGGTGCCAGACATGTAAGAATAAACAATAGACCTAACAAGTAGCATGTTCCAGACATTTTTTTGACATTTTCATCAACAAATCTTGCAGTAGGATATTTTTGCATTTTTATCAGGCTCCTATGTGTAGGTACATACTGTACATACATACGTTTATTAAATATAAATAAATATAAATAAAAATATTGCATAAAATTTTCTGTTAAAGTTAGGTTATACTATTTACTAGATGTGTATTAAAAAATGTTAAATGCTAAATACAAATCTGCGTTCACTGGTAAACAACTTCAGTGATTATTATGGGAGTTTTGAGAGTGCTTGAACTCGCTGGACTGAAGTGAAAAAGTTCTTTGATTAATGTAAAGGTTCTTTGCTCTCTTTTTGTACAATGAAAGTGATATAGGCTAATTAGTAACTTACAATGTTTTTATTAAATTCACATTAAATACAGTCATTCATATTAAAAATATTTTATGGTAACACCTTAAAATGAAGGTATTTGGTATTTTATTTTAAAATACATTTTGATGTATCTTTGCCCAACCCTGAAAGTGAAGATGTACGAATGTAAGTAAGATATTAAGTTCACAGTGTAAACAGCTTTAGAGATTATTATGGGAGTTTTTGAGAGTGCTTCAACTCGCTGGACTGAAGTGAAAATGTTCTTTGATAATGTAAACGTTATTTTCTCTCTTTTTGTACAATGAAAGTGTTATAGGCTAATTAGTAACTTACAATGTTTTTATTAAATTCACATTAAATACAGTCATTCATATTAAAAATATTTTATGGTAACACCCATATCTGGTACGTAAGTAAAAAGACAATTTTTATGCAAAGTTATTAATTACACTATTAGGCTACTTTGCCCATCGCCCGTTATAGATCAACTAACATAATCTATAAAGATGCAAAATGCATTTACTTACACATATTTGAGAATCGAGATATTTTATGTTATGAACACATTTGGGAATATTTCAAATAAAAAGGAAAAAATAAATAAAACATAAGCATATATCAGTTATAAAGTGCTATTGTGGCATGATGCCCCTGACACTACAGTACAAAATTATGTGTCAAATAAATTAAACATGATGAAACATTCATTTTAGTTGAAATTGTTATAGATTACTTCTACAGATTGCAGTGGTGAAAAAATGACTGAATGAATAATACTTAAAGTAGGTTAAGATCAGGGCCGTGCACAGACATTTTTAGGGGCAGTGGCCCAAACCAAAAAAGGGGCACTAAGGGGGTCTTCTTCTTCTTCTTCTCCACCCACACTAAGAAGTGTATTGGGCGACGAGAGCTCTCCAGCGAATGCGATCAAGGGCCAGATCTTTGGCTTCTTCCCATGTGATGTTTAGGGAACTGAGGTCATTGATGAAGGTTCGGCGCCAGGTCAGTCGTGGTCGACCCCTGCATCGTCGTCCTCCAGGTGGAACCCACTGGAGTGCCATCTTTGGAATGCGGCTGCTTTCCATCAGTATAATGTGTCCAGCCAGCCACAGGCGGTGGTATGTAATCATTATACTAAGACTTGGCATATTGCTTCATCGCAGAACTTCCTCATCAGTAATGTGGTTGTAGTATCGAATACGTAGTATCCTTCGGAGGCATGCAGCGCTGATGGAAGATGTCTACCTTGTGAGAAATACTAGCTGATGCCTTCCACGTTTCTGCTGCATAAGTTGCCATCGGAAGGATGATAGATGTATACAAGCGAAGCTTGATGTTAAGTGAGATTGACGTAGATGACCAGATCTTGCACATTTGTTGAAAGACTGTTGATGCCTTGCCAATCCGGCATTTGACATCTATCTCTGCATCTCCATCTCGTCCAATATAGTGCTGCCAAGGTATGTAAACCTACTAACCTCTTCAATGTCGCTTCCATCAACCTTAATCCTTGGCATGTCAGCTTGAGCGTCGATATGCATGACTTTGGATTTTTCGGCACTAATGTGTAATCCGACCTTCGCTGCTTCTGTATGCAAGCTTGATGTTATTTCCTGTAAATGGTAACTGTTTTCAGCAAGCAGAGCTATATCGTCTGCAAAATCAAGATCAGTGAGGCGGTTCTGTCCATCCCAATCAATCCCTGCGTTTGGTCTTGCCATAGCCTTCCTCACGACAAAATCTAGGGCCACTATGAATAAGAATGGCAACAAGATACATCCTTGTCTGACACCGGTCTCAATGGCAAAGAAGTCAGTGTGGCCTGTATCTGTCTTGGTGCAGCAGCTGGAATTGTTATACAATGATTGGAAGACAGATATTAATTTCTTTGGCACACCATACAATTGTACTAAGGGGGTGGGAGCTTGTTAATACAAATTATCCAGTTGTTACAAATATACAATTAAACGGGAAGACAGCACACTCTATAATAATTTCTAACTTTATTGTAGATGTTTTGATAGAGTGGGCTCTTCCTCACTCTCTGCTTCTGCCTCATCTTCAATGGAAGTATAAGTATTAGGCATTGCTTTAATATTATACAGCATAAATCTATATTATATACTAATAAACAACTAATTTAGAACATTTATATTACTTTTTTTACTATTTATAGGCCTACTATTAATGTGGTTTTAATAAAATATTTTACATGTGATGTATTATAGATTACTAGTATCAACTAAGACAAGTAATAATAATGGGAAATATACTTAATTACAATAATTAAAGTGTGACAAACTGCTAAATATTCTATATTATGATTTACAATAATTTGATTAGACATTCTAATTCTAAGAACGTGGATATTTTGTACAAGTTGTTGGCACTTTTAGAAGACTGAGAGCAAATCATTACCGACAGAAATACAAAAACAAACTACCAAATTACTAATTCAGCGAATCAACCACTGACTGTAATGTGGCTTGTAATGCATCTACCTGTTAATGCAACGAGCTACGGGAAACTTTGTCTCCACTCTCCAGAGAACGGGCACACAGATTGTGAGTGATGCTGCTTCCATCAACCTTAATCCTTGGCATGTCAGCTTGAGCGTCGATATGCATGACTTTGGATTTTTCGGCACTAATGTGTAATCCGACCTTCGCTGCTTCTGTATGCAAGCTTGATGTTATTTCCTGTAAATGGTAACTGTTTTCAGCAAGCAGAGCTATATCGTCTGCAAAATCAAGATCAGTGAGGCGGTTCTGTCCATCCCAATCAATCCCTGCGTTTGGTCTTGCCATAGCCTTCCTCACGACAAAATCTAGGGCCACTATGAATAAGAATGGCAACAAGATACATCCTTGTCTGACACCGGTCTCAATGGCAAAGAAGTCAGTGTGGCCTGTATCTGTCTTGGTGCAGCAGCTGGAATTG